GACTAGTCAGCTATCTGATAAGCTTTTGATTATTGGATAGTTAACTAGTCGCTTACATTCCTAATTTCCAGGTGACAGTAGTTCCATGTAGTCATGCTTCTATGCCTCTGTTCAAATGAAATCAGCTTATTGGTTGCAACCATTTTTCTCTGATGTGTGCATTCTCACAGTGATCCACCCCTTTACAGTAACAGTGCTAGAGTTTTACAGCTATCTGATAAGCTTTTGATTATTGGATAGTTAACTAGTCGCTTACATTCCTAATTTCCAGGTGACAGTAGTTCCATGTAGTCATGCTTCTATGCCTCTGTTCAAATGAAATCAGCTTATTGGTTGCAACCATTTTTCTCTGATGTGTGCATTCTCACAGTGATCCACCCCTTTACAGTAACAGTGCTAGAGTTTTATATTGTGCTCTGCTTAGTCACCTTGGAAAGTTACCTGGGAGTTTCAGGTACTAAAAAATGCTGGCATCTTTGAGTATAACAAGCTGCTGCTTCAGAACTTTGTTGGGTTCCAACTGCAATTTAAGATGTAGGTTGCAATTTAGTAAGTCTTATATGGCCAGCTGAGGGTTTGACCCTCTTATGCTGCATCATGACACACCAGTAGCACTCCATTGATGTTAAATACTTAAGATATGGCTAACGTTGTGCACTGGTGGTCCCACATCTTTGAAACTTTCTTCTTCTAGCAATCCACTGAACGTGGGTTTGTTGAGTTTCAGAGAAATTTAAGATTTTTTTTTTTTTTTTTTTTTTTTTTGTCCAAGTGTCTTATCTAGGTTTCCCACTAACTGGGTTTGAAGACTTTTTTAATTATTTCAGTTAAAATAGTTTTGCTATTGTATTTAGGGATTCAGTTGTCAGGCTGGAAATCCAATGTATAAATATTTTGTTTTATAATGTAAGTTAGCTTAAATGAATTTTAAGTTTTACAGAAAGTAATTCTCAACGTAGGTTAAATATTTGTCCTAAAAAGCCTTTTTGGATGTCCTGTTCTTTGTGTTGACGTCCAGAGATCTTTTACAATGATAATTCACCCTGCTTGCAGCTTGGGATCAAAATCTGATCTGTCGGTCACTTTGGTGCTAGAAGGTTCTTCAGTTTTCCACAATCAAAATTTAACCAGCTTCCAAGTTACAATCTCAAGTCAGACTACGGTTTATTTTATTTGAAGTTAGGAGCTTTCTTTAATTTAGACAGGTTTTCCTCAAACTGTCATTCCTCAAGTAAGTTCAAGATCTGTAACTCCTCTAGTTCAGCAAAGTCCTGCCTTTAAGAGAATTGGCAATCTCAAGGCAGAGTAGTTACGTCTCTTGTATTGGCATCTGCTGGACAGTCATTAGTTCACCAAGGTCTGCATATTGGTCATCAAATCTTGGCCAAAAGGAAAGAAATGGTACTGGACAAGTCGTCTTTATATCTAGTGCCCAAGAGAAGGTACAGGAGATATTCATGTATTATCCACCTAATTTTGGATGTTCATAATTAAGATTATTCTGCTTCCCATTTTGGAGGAACACTGCTATGAAAATCTCACTATAACATATCTGTGGTTATTAGCATGAAGAAAAACAGGAACATTTACCCTGCCTTAACTGAATATATCCTTTTTTTGAGTAATATGTTCATAGATCTGGCTGACTGGAGACGAGGAATGTTAACTATCGCAACTAAGTAATCAAATAGTCAATGGAATTTCCATTGATTAGTCAATAGAGGGGGATGCTTCCGCTGAGGCTCTGCACTTTAAATGTAGTAAGAACTCGGCGGGATTTTGTTATATTTAAAGTGCAGAGTTGCCCTTCTCATGGAAAAGCTTTTGGCAGATTAACATAGCAACACTTGCATATTCATTACGATAATTAATTTATTTGCAAATTCATTGTGGTAAGGGGTTGCATGTTGTTTTGCATTACATCTGTACGCACACAGTAACCTACCACTTCTCCAAGTTTACCCATTTTATGAAGGCCATCGTCCTTCTTTGATTCCCTCTGGTCTCATTCCCTTTGCCTCAGGATCCCTTTCCCCTCCGCCCCCACCCAGCGCTTGGACACTGGCCCCCAAGTGCCTTCACCCCCACCTCCAACCCCTCAGTGCTGCCCAGGATGAGCCCAACACCCACTTTGTTCTTCCCTGCAAGTGGCACCAAGCCCTTGTGTCCTCCCACGCAGTGACAGGACCACCCAGCATGCAATCAGGTCTGAAGGATGAAGCCCCATCCTGGCCTTTTGTGTCTGGTTGCCTGGCATATGGCCCCATGCTCTCACTTACTGGCCTGGGTGGCTGGGTGTTCTGGACCTTGCTAGGAAGGGAAGTGGAAGAGCAGCTTGTTGCTGCAGCTGCCCGAGCTCTGTTCTGCTAGCTAGTGCTGCTCTTCCGGATCTTGTGGAGCAGATTGTAACGTGGTTGGGTGGCATCTTGCCCACGGCTGGGCCTGCTCCTGTGGGGCATGAGACACGCACTGTTTTCCCCGTTTCCCACGCTGCTCTGCTCAGGCCCACATGCACACACAGGCCCAGCACAGACCTCTGGAGCACCCACCTGCTGCACCACTCACCGCGTACTACTTCAGAGGGTGGGGCTGAGACAGTGACTGTATGCAGGCTGAAGTACCATTGTAATGAATCAGTGAAGAAAAATGGCTATTGTTGAAGGTAAAACACTGGATTGGGAACACTGATGCCCTGAGGTGATTGAAAGAAATCTTTCTGTAGATGGTTGGCTAGTGGTTCTTGGTCATGTTCTCAGCATGTAACTGATCACCATATGTGGGAACTGAAAGGGATTTCCCTCTGAGAAGATAGGTAGGGACACTGTGGAGGTGGAGTAACATTCCTTAGCAATGTGAGGCATGGGTCACTTGCTAGGCACATCTGGACTCCTATCACTACATTAGTTCCTTGCCAGTGGACACCAGGCTTCAATTTTTTTGTGCACCTTGGTCCATCCTCTTCTCACCTTGTGGCACACAGTTGTAGAGTTTCCTGATGGCTATAATACTTTGATCTAATTCTAGTTTTGGGGCTTGGCGTGGCAGGTGTTGGGTGGTTTTTAGTGGCTTGTGATTTTACAGGAGTTCAGATTGGTGGTCCCCTCTTACTTTAAACTCTGACTCTAAGGATACGTCTCCACTTTGAGTGGTGATCCCCAGCTTGAGAAGACCTACCTATATTATCTCTGTTACATTAAAAGCACTGGTGTGACCTGTGCGAAGGGCTAGCTGCCCCCAGGATGATTCCATTCAAGGGGCTAGGTGTGGATTCCAGGCTGCTCTTATCGCTACTGCTATATTAATTTTTTAGCATGCTAACTTGATCAGAGCTAACATGATCTATTGGAGCAAGGAATCACACATCCAGCTCAAAGTGTTGGTCTACCCTAAGAAAGGAAACTTTCTGATAAGCAGGTACATTTTATTTTTAAGGATTTGGTATATTATCTAATCCATATAATTATGATGTGTCTGTTTTTAAGAATGTCATGTTCACTTTTTCTTGCTTTCCAGGCTTCTTTCAGGGGTGAAAAAGCTCTTTATATTTCAGCTGAATGAGGGAAAGGTGACTGTGAGAAATGACATCATTGTAACTCATTTGACCCATGTAAGTTATTTAATCAACCTGGGTTGATTTTATTCAAATCATAATTTAATATGTCTGTCTTTAGCAGGCTTGAATATTTGGGGGATAGGGAACTAAAACTTCCTGTGGGGGGAAAAATTGTGATTCCACATCTGTTTTTAACTTAATAAGCAAATCTGAGTAGGCTGATGACATAAGTGATTATAATTTAGTGATAAACATAACATTTCATTATCTCAAATTCAACACTCATCTAAAAGGTAAAATGAAAGAATCTTGTGATTTCTGGTCTTGTAAAAAATTAATAGTCATTAGATCATTCTGAAAACCCTTATTTTGTAGAATTGCTTAAGATCAGTATTGGAGCAGATAGCGGCATATGGACAAGTCGTGTTTAGGCTGCAAAAATTTATTGATGAAGTGATGGGGCACAGCTCAGAAAATGTAACCCATGGAACCATTTCCACTCCCAAGAAAACTACAGAATCTCCATTTAGAACCTACCAAGCATTTATGTGGGCTTTGTACAAGTACTTCATTAGTTTCAAAGAAGAACTTACTGAAATTGAGAAATGCATAATCAACAAAGGTACGGTATAGGGGATATTTAATTTACAATAGGAAAATGTGTGAGAATATGCTATTACACAAATAAGTTTAAAGTATGTGAAAATAGTTGAACAAAATGCTATGCAGCATTTTAAAAATGAACCATTTTTAGCAAGTTTATCTTTGTATAATTTTGGTTTTGCAGACAAAACAGTCACTCTTTCAATAGTAGTAGATAAACTGTCACCTCGACTGGCACAGCTTAAGGTACTTCACAAAGTTTTCAGCACAGGGGTGGCAGAAGTACCACCTGACACTCCAAATGTTGTAAGAGCATCTCATTTGCTTAATACACTCTACAAAGCTATTCTTGAATATGACAACGTTGGAGAAGCATCTGAGCAAACAGTATGTCAAATCTAATTTTTACTTGAATTATGAAACACAGTATCTAGAATATTGTGTAATTTCAGTTTTTCTTTGAAGCTTTTTATCACTGAAGAATTGACTTATAAGTCCATTAGGTCACACATGAAATACATGACATGGTCTCTTATTCTATAGTTACCTACGTTATAAACCACAAAATTCACCATCGCTAGTACGTTGTGCTCAAAAGAGACTTAGGACTGGAAATAATGCATGTTGCTGGATAGGACTGAAGTGCATTGAGAAAGCAATATGGAGATGATTGCAGGGTCTGCTTCAATTTAACACTGCACTGCATCGCTATTAGTTGAACATTATATCTGGTCAAGTTTTTTTTTTTTTAATGGTACATTTTTGCATACTGGAAATATAGATTTGCATAGTTATTTGGATTGGCGTCTCTGAAATGGGTAGTAGCTATTTAAATTGAATATTATGAATAATTTTGCCATGGGTGGCAGGTCTAAAAGGCTGTCAAACTCTGCCTCTCCTGGTGATGCTGTGGCCAGCAGACTCGTGTTGCAGGCTTGGGTGGGGGAGAAGTTTGATTTATTTTGCCCCATGCCAGTCAGCTGAGGAGATGTTATACAGTGTTCCCTCAATCTTTTCCATATATGTGCAGAATGAATTTTTATATGCACGTACACATGTGTGAATGTGCTCCACCAATAGAAATACAAAACCTATTTGTGGGTGCTCTGCTAATAATCTGAGTGGCATTTGAATATGTTCTGAATGGCTGCACAAGCGCTTAGCTTACAGGGGATACTGGTGATATGTACCATACAGCTTCCTGAGCTCATTATAGTAATCTCCCTGGACTCCAGAGAAATTAGTGATGAATCCAGGAAATTGAGTAGCACATTCCACTCCTTAGCTGCCCCGGAACATTCATGGGGCATTGCAAAAGCATCTTCTGGACTTGAAATACCTTTCTTCTAAGGTAGTTTGAGGTCTGGGGAGCAGAGGTTTAGTGTGGCTGCACTGATTCAGAACTCCTCTGGGGCAGGCAGACAGGGAGGGTTCGGGGCTTTGGTCAGTCAGGGGCCTTCTCTGGCTGATGTGGGTGTCTTATACATTTGGGTGAGTAGGTAAATGGGGGTGAAATGGGCAGATATGGGACTAGCCTCCCTTATCAAGGGACTCTACACATCTCCCATGAACTTTGTCAGACATGTATAAGATTCCACAGTAACTGGTGTTTACTCTTCATTTCAGGTATCCCTCCTCTTCTCTCTTTGGGTTGAAACAGTAAGGCCATATTTGCAGACAGTGGATGAGTGGATTGTCCATGGTAACTTGTTTGATCCTGCTAAGGAATTTATTATTCAGAGGTATGAATGAGGATACAGATCAAAACATGGTGGCCAACACAACGTTATAGTTGTTGCACAAGACAAACTGGATGGTGGCATAACAATAATTTTGTTTGATTAAATAGCTAAAAATGATTCAATTTTTTAATTACTTTTATCTGTGTCTAATCTACATGAGAGAAATTACATGAGGTAGTGAGAGAATGACCCTTGTAATTATTGATATAATACAAAAAGACTTAATTTTTAAAAAAATTCAAAAATAAACAAAAGAACAGCCATACCATGTCAGACCAAAGGTCCATCTAGCTCAGCATCCTGTCTTCCAACAGTGACCAATGCCAGTTGATTCCCTCTGGGGTACCTGAACAGGTAATCGAGTCTCAGAGCGGTAGCTGTGTTAGTCTGTAACTTTAAAAACGAGTGGTCCTGTGGCACAGACTAGCAAAAAAAATAAAAAATAGTATCATGAGCAGCTTCTAGCCATCAGACTAGAACAGGGGTGGGCAAAAGCCTCTCAGCAGGCTGGATCCAGGCCCCTCGGGCTTTGATCCGGCCTGTGAGGCGGTTCCAGGCCCTGCCTCCAGTCCGTTGCCTCAGAGGGGCAGAGGAGTGTGAGCCTTTCTAACTGCTTCTATTTACAGGGCTGGAGCCTTCCCTGTGCCTGTCAGACAACAGTGTTGCCTAGCAGCAGTGGGAAACATGAGAGTCCTTTTAATAGAATCAGCTGAAAGGGATCACACGTCTCCTGCAATGCACTAGGGGCATGGAGAGCTACAAGCCCTTTCAGCTGTTTCTATTTAAAGGGCTCTCATGTTCCCTGTGGCTACTTGGCAACGCATTGTCTGGCAAACGCAAGGAAGGTGCCAGCCCTTTAAACAGAAGCACGTAAAAGGGCTCCCAACTTCCCGCCCCTCTAGTGCAGAAGTGGGCAATAATTTTTGAAGGAGGGCCACTCCCAAGTTTTTGGAAAGTGGTCATGGGCCAAACTCTTCCATGGTATTAATGGAGGAGGTGCAGGGTCTGGGATGGAGGTTGAGTGCAGAAGGGAGCTGGGGTAAAGGATTGGGGTACAGGAGGGAGAATGGGGTGTAGGAGGGAGTTTGGGTGAAGGAGGAAGTTGTGACCTATGGCAGGAGATTGGGGTGTCAGATCTGTGAAGGGGGATGGGTGCATGTGGAGTTAGTGGGGCAGAGGGTCAGGGAAGGGAGGGGCTGAGATGCCAGAGGCAGATTCTCACCAGGAGACTTGCCCGCCCGCCTGCCTGCCTGCAGAGCTAAAGGCTTCCAGAGCTAAAAATGGTTCTGCCTACTCGGCCATGTGCGTGAGTGAGTGAGTGAGCAGGAGGGTTGTGCTTTGTGGCTGCCTGCTATTCAAACAGGCAGCTTCCATTGTCCAGTGTCTCTCCAGAAACCGGCCAATGGGATAGTGCTGGGGGCAGGAGCAGAGTCCAAATCTTCCCCACTCTCCTTCTGACTCAAAAGAGAAAGCCTGCTGCCACATTTCTGAGGAACAACATGCAGGGCTGAGGGGCAAGCAGGGGAGCCTGACTCGAGCTCCCCTCTACCTTGGAGTGCTGGATCCGACCCGTGGGCGGTATTTTGCCCATGCCTGCTTTAGCACGTTGCTAGGGAGCCAGAGACACAAGGTCTTTCAGCTGTCTCTATTTAGAGGGCTCACCTGCTGAGTGGCTGCATTGCCTAGCAGCCACCCAGCAGGTGCAAGCCCTTAAAACAGAAGCAGTTGAAAAGAATTCACAGCTCTGCTCCACTGGCTTGTTACCTTGGAGTTGCCTGGAGGCATGAGCCCTTTCAGCTGCTTCTATTCAAAGGGCTTGTGCCTGCCAGGCAGCTGTGAGGAGGCCAGGAGCTGCTAGCCCTGTTATATGAAATCTAAGCCTACACCCCAGACAACTCTGGGAGGAGGCTAGCCCCCGGAATCCTCTCCTCTGCTCCAGATCCCTTCCATTGGCTAGAAGTCGGGGGAGGGACCCCAGGCCAAGCAAAGCTCCTGGTAGGGAAGCTCTCAACCCCATCCCTTTTGCCCGAGACTCTGCCTCTTCTGGGTTGGCCCGTGGCCACTTCGAAAATTTGTGAAGAGGCCCCGCCCCCCCCTTCAAAAATTATTGCCCATCCCTGGACCAGGAAAATCATCCCTGCTCCTCCTGTCTTACAGCCATTGATGGACCTATACTCCATGAATATATCAGTTTTCTTTTGAATCCTGTTATAGTGTTGACCTTCACAACATCCTCTGGCAAAGCAATCCACAGGTTGACTGCATTGTGTGAAGAAATACATCTTTTCATTTGTTTTAAGCCTGCTGCCTATTAATTTAATTTGATGAACCTTAGTTATCTACTTTCTCCACACCAGTTATGATTGTATAGACCTCAAAGATATCCCCCCTTAGTCATCTCTTTTCCAAGCTGAAAAAATCCCGGTATTATTAATCTCCTCATATGGAAGCCATTCCATCAAATATATCTTTTTTGAGCTGGGGCGACCACAGCTGCACACAGTATTCAAGATGTGGGTGTACTATGGATTTATGTAGATGCAGTGAAATATTCTCTGTCTTGTTATCGATCCCTTTCTTAATGATTCCCAACATTGTTAGCTTTTTTGATTGCCATTACACAAGTGGATGTTTTCAGAGGACTATCTACAATGACTCCCTTATCTCGTTGAGTGATAACAACTAATTTAGGCATCATTTTATATGTATAGTTGTGATTATTTTCCGGTGTATGTTATTTTTGCATTCATCAATATTCAGTTTCATCTGTCATTTTGTTTCCGTCACCTAGTTTTGCGAGACCCTTTTTCAACTTTTCAGTCTGCCTGGGACTTTATTTGAGCAATTTTGTGTTTTTCTGCAAATTTTGCCACCTGGGTGTTTTCCCTCTTTTTCCAGCTCATTTATAAATATGTTGACAGACACCACTGTTTACCTCTCTCCATTCTGAAACTATTTATTTCTACCCTTTTTTTCCCCTTCCTTAACAAGTTCCTAGTCCAGGAGAGGACCTTCCCTCTTATCCTATAGTAGCTTACTTTGCTTAAGAGCCTTTGGTGAAGGGTCTTTGTTAAAGGCTTTTTGAAAATCTAAATACACTATATTTGTTGGATTTCCCTTGGCAACATACTTGTTGATACTCTCAAAGAATTCTAGTAGATTGGCTAGTCATGATCTCTTTTTTTTTTTTAAAAAAAAGAACTCTTCCTCAAAAACTTATGTTCAGTTATACGTCTCACAGTTTTGTTCTTTACTATAGTTTCAACCAGTTTCCCTGGTACTGTAGTCAGAGTTGCTGGCATATAATTGCCGGATCATGTTGGGAGCCCTTTTAAAAATTGGTTTCACATTAGCAATCTTCCAGTCATTTGCTACAGAAGCTGACTGAAATGATAGGTTACAGCTTACAGTTAGTGGTTCTGTAATTTCACAATTGAATTTCTTCAGAACTCTTGGGTGAATACCATCTGGTCCTGGTGACTTATTAATTTTTAAATTTTATCAGTTTGTTCCAAAACCTCCTCTGACACCTCAGTCTGGGACAGTGTTGGGTTATAGCGGTCTATGGCTATTAAGTATTTTTTCCCCCACTGTGCAATACTACTAAATTTTTTTTTCTAGCTGTTGAACAAGTAAGGCTTTCTTTGGCTTATCCCTGGCTCCTAATGCGCTGCCCCTTTAAAGAGCCAAAATGGCACTTCAAAGAGGCAGCGCAAGCAGAGCCAGGGATCAGCTGGAGTGCCCAGCTGATCCCTGGCTCTGAGTTGCAAAGCCCCTTTGAAGTGCTGCTCCAGTGCTTCAAAGGGGCTTTGCAACAGCGGAGCCCCTTTGAAGTGCCTAAACGGCACTTCAAAGGGGCAGCGCAGCATTATGCCTGAGATTAACCTGTTAATTTTTTAACACGTTAATCCTGTCCTGTGTTAATCGCAGGCGTTAAAGCAGGTCAGTTGACAGCCCTAGTAAAGATAGTTGCAAAGTTCTTCACTTAGAAAGGAAAAATCAAATTCTCAAATACATAATGGGGAATAATTGGCTAAGTGGTAATACTTCTGAAAAGAATCTGGAGGTTTATAGTGAATCACAGATTGAATGAGTCGTCAACATGACACAGTTGTGGAAAAGGCTAATAATATTCTGGAGTGTCTAAATGGGAGTATTGTATGTAAAACACAGAAGGTAATTGTGCTTTACTTGGTGTTTGTGATGTCGCTCCTTGAGTATTGTATTCAGTTCTGAGTGCCGTACTTGAGGAAAGATATGGACAAACTGGAGGAAATTATCAAAAGTAAGCAAAACTTTCTAAGCCTTCTGTGGTTTAAAACTGGGCATGTTTAAGACTGAATGGGAATCTGATGAGTCTTCAAATATATTGGTTCTCCATGTCTGCAGAAGATAGCACAAGAAGTAATGGGCTTACTGTGTACGAAGGGAGATTTAGATTAGCTGTTCGGAAGAACTTTTTTTATTTGTAAGGATAATTTAACTATAGAATAGGCTTCCAAATGAGATTGTGTAATCCCCATCAATTGAGGTTTTAAAGAACACGTTGGTTGGACAAACATCTGTCAGGGATGGTATATACTCTAGAATGACTTGGTCTTGACTTAGTGCAGGGAACTAGACTTGGTGACTTCTGAGAGTCCTTTCCAGTTCTACATGTCTATTAGCCTATCCTTTCTATAGTACTTTGGGATAATTCCAAATTCAGAATGAAATCTAAATGAAAGATGTATATTATTATTTAATAGAGAAGAGTTATATTTTAAGAGGATAAAGTGTAATGATTTTATTTCTCCATCGTAGAAACAAAAATGTTCCAGTTAATCACAGGGATTTTTGGTATGCTACCTACACGTTGTATAGTGTGTCAGAAAAGATGGAGAATGAAGAGAAAATGAGTGATAATGCCAGTGCCAGCTCTGGCAGTGATCAGGCTCCCTCAAGTAGGCAGCACACAATGGTATCCTTTCTGAAACCAGTACTAAAACAAATCATCATGGCTGGAAAGTCCATGCAGTTGTTGAAGAACCTGCAATCCAAAGACGATTCTCCACAGCAAGCTGCATCAAGAGGTGAAAAGAATTCTCCATTGTGTATAACAGCATTTGTGTTTAGGGTGCATTAACGTTTCTGTTACAAACCATGCTGTTTGTAGAGTATATAGCTCTCTTTGTTACACTTGCACTATGTGGTTTTTTTAACTTCACATCTGCTTTGAAACCTGATTCTGTTCCAAGATCCCTAACACATGAGACACGCACAACAATGTGAGGAAAAATTAATTTTTTACCTTAATTCAGAATTTCTTTGCTTTTCTCAGTTGTAGGTTGTTCTTAAACATTATTTTAATTTCTCTTATTAAAGTTTGTACTTTTAAAGATATTTATTCAAACAATAAACCTGTTTTCTTATGTGATTAAATAGTTGGTTCCAGTTACTGCATAGTTCACTGGTTTAGGAATGATAGGTAATAAATAAGGATTCTTGACTGAGGAAAGCCTGTTGGTGATCTTCTCAAAGAGTTTGATATAACTATAGGCATGCTGAATATTTAGGGAAATCATCATGAATTTTTAAAAAAATTACAAACTAACATGGCTATCCCTCTGAAACTTTTCAGCATGAATGATGATATACAAAGCACAGTAGTGGGAACTGTGATATCTGTTCTATTCAGCTGGGACAATATAAACTAGATATTTGTAAGTTATAGAAGTCCCTTTCTATTTAAATATGGAGTGAGGTGGCTTTGCACTGTTTGGCAATTGTTTAATATATATTTGTAATTCCTTTTAGCATGGAAGGATAAACTGTCAGTGAATACACATTTTGTACTAATGGCTGACGGTTACTTTAACCATAGTATTTAAGAGTTTAATATTTTCAGAAATATTATTTTCGTATTTTAGGTCCCAAGTTCAGCAAGATATTTCAGTATGCACTCAACATTAAGCCTATAAATAGTCCTGTTAATATTAATATTTAAAGTTAGATATGTGCTTAAGTATCTTGCAAATCACAGCTTGGATACCGTTGATGCTGCATATGGAAATACAACAAGTAAAACTGGGTTAATCTGCTGAACTTGTTATAATTTAGTCAACATTATTTCTTATTTATCATAAATATTTACTGTGTACTTCAGATTCAGAAAGGAAGAATTTGTACACACTATTTCTGGAGTCTGTGCAGTCTCGTTTGCGGCATGGAGAAGAATCTGTTCCGGATATTATTACAGAACAACAAGCTACAAAGCAGAGTTTGATAAAGATGCAGTCCATAGCAGAAAGACACTTAGAACTGGATGATGTTCATGATCCATTGCTGGCTATTAACTTTGCTAGGTAATCAAACACCTGAAAATTAACAGATCTTATTACTGTGTTGTCAGAAGCAACAAGGCTTAAACTTTAGCTATTGCTGCTTAAAAAGAACAGGTTTAAAGGAGAGCCTTGCTAAGTATTATCCCAGGCAGCCGATGAATGGCCAAAGGTGAATTAAAAATATAAATTATTAAGTGAGTATTTTAAGATCTGTTTGATATATGCCCGCTATATCTAGGAGTACTTACATGTTTTTAGTGTAAAAAATGGGAAATGTCTGTAGTATAGAAATTTTTATTACAAAAATGAGATATTTCTCAAATGAATTATGATAGAAAAGATGCTGTAGCAAAATCTAATATTTTTAGTGTGCATGTATGGGACGTTATGTAAAATGCCTTTCATTTGCATCAACGTGTTTCTCTATGGCTGATCATCACAAATATGTATCTTGAAAAACTCTACCGTGATACTAATCTCTCTCTCTATAAAAAAATATTCCTGTGGGACAACAGAATGATGTTATCACATCACTAGTGTTGCCCCACCCCAGCTCCAGGCTGCTCCTCTGGCCCTTACATTGCTCCCCCATGGGGGAGTGGTCATCTTAGGCCACTACCAGCGACTCCTGTCCTCACATCCTGACCCTGGCTGCCTTTTGCACTGACTGGCCTCTTCCCCCACAGCCCTACTGACTGAGACCCTCCTCACACCACCCCCAGCCCTTTCTCTCACACCCCAAGCCAAGATTCTGCACCCTCAGTCTCCTCGCACCCCTTTAAGTCGAGACCGTGTTCCTGCATCCCCCTCACACACCGTAATTCTACTGCCTCATCTCTCTCCTTCCCCAGTGAGTTTGAAGTAGTCTTTGAAGTAGTCTTTTCCCACTGCTCTATCGCCAGCTGGAGGAGGAGGGAAGGGAAACAGAAGTGCATAGGGAACCTTGGGGCTTTCTCCCCTGCCCCCACAGGAAACTGGCACTGGTGCTTCAACCTCGTGGGGGGAGGGAAACAAGGCTGGAGCACCAATGCTGGCTCCCTGCTATAGGGAAAGCAGGGGCGAGGGCTGAGCTGGAGCTGGCGAGTGACTGGGCTGGTGGTGCCAGGGTCTCGTCAGGGCAGTGAGTGAGGGAGGTGGGGTTGTGGGGTCTCAGGGCAGTAAGTGAAGGGGGTGAGGCTGGAGTGCCAGCGCGGGCTCCCAACATGGCCCCAGTCTGCTCACTCACCGCCCTTCTGAGACCCTGCACCTCTAGCCCACTCAGTCAAACCCCCGCAGCCGAGACCCCGCACTCCCAGCCTCTTCACTCACCACGCTGCCAAGACCACACACCCTCCACCAAGACCCAGCGCTCCCAGCCCCCTCACTGAGATCTCACACTCTAAGCCTGCTCCTGCCCCCCCCCAGACACCCTGCCCCCAGCCTGCTCCTGCCCCCTTCCCTCTGGCTCCACCCCCAGGGAGAGGGGGGTTTGCTAGCATAGCGGGCAGGGAGCACAGACCCCTAGAAGTAGTTTAAAACAAACATTTAAGGAAAAAGGGTTAATTGCCACAAAAATAATTGTTCCTTTATGGTAGAATAATATGAAGAAACTAGCAGAACAGCAGTATGTTGATTCTAACAGTCTTACATAGGTCATAATAATTAGTGGTGAGAATGTTAGCTATTTATTTCTTTTATATACCAATAGGTAGATCAGTGTTCCAGCTTCTTAAAAAGAGTTTTAATGTAACAATGGTGCCTTTAGTTCTTGGTTGTATTTAAACACTTTCATTTTAAGTTAAATGACCTTAACAGTTTAATAAGTATGGTGTATTATAAGAACGTTGTGTTATATGCTCTTAAAAGTTGATTTGGACTGAATTAACCAGTCTATCAAGTAGTGTTCCCTCTAAGCTGTGTGGCAACAAAGCTTCCATAGGTGATTAATCAGCCCTGCCCAGTCAGAGTCTCAGGGCTCCATGCATGGGGTTGATTGACTAGGTGGAGCTCATTAATCACTCATAACCCCTTGTTTAGGCCTTAAATTGCAATTTAGCCCTAAAAGATCATATAAAACATATTTTTCTTATTTATTCAGGTCTACAATACTTGTACTGGTACTGTTTTCAGAACCTCTACAAGAACTGGTATTAAAACAGTTAGTGATTAGGTGGTTATAGCATATCGTTCAAACTAGTACTTGCTTTGTCATACATCGGTTGTATGAATGGTCAGTTTAAATAATGGGCTTGTCTGAATTACGGCACTAATATCCATTGACTTACCAGCATGGTAATTACATTTTTGCTACTTTTTCAACGCGCTTTTTTTTTTTTTTTTTAAAGCAAAGCTAAATAAAACCCAAAAGTTGTAAATGTATGACACATTCTGCAAGGTATTTCATGGATAAAATTCCTTTCTAGCTAAGAATTGTTTTTTATTTTGAAGGCTGTATTTGGAGCAAAGTGACTTTCATGAGAAATTTACTGGTGGCGATGTTTGCGTGGATAGATCCTCTGAATCGGTGACATGCCAGACATTTGAACTGACATTGAGGTCTTGCCTTTATCCTCACATAGATAGGCAATATCTTGAATGCTGTGGCAACCTAATGCAAACTTTAAAGAAGGATTACAGGTAAGAAATGAAATTAGATCCTGCTTAAAAAGCATATTCAGTTGTTGTTATACCATACTGTAAAAACATCAGTTATTTTAAGAAAATTGATTTGTAGTTGAAAAATTATATAAACTGTTTAAACATTTATTCTAATTCTGCTGTGATAAACAATAACAAAAAGCACTAATAAAACCTAGAATTAACATTTTCCAACCTTCACATTACTCATTGGTTTTTTGGGGGGTTCTATCCCTTTATCTGTGTTACATACCTACTTAATTTTCTAGCGTAGAGTGGGCTTATGTCGCTGTAACTGCATCTCAGGTATGAAAAATTCATACTGCCTGAAGGTGCGTCTATAGAGCACCCTAAACTTGAAATAAGATATGCTATTTGCATTATGCAAATTCTGTCTTTCTTTGATTCTATTTTGAAATAGCTTATTTTGAAATTTGGTGCGTCTGTGAAGAGCAGTATTAAAACTTAGTAACAAATTGACAAATATTCCTGGAAAGAGCAAGGGGTAAAATCCTGGCCCCGTTAAAGTCAGTAACCAAGATATCATTGATTTCAGTGGACCCAAGCCTTCCCACAGACAGCTGAAAATACAGGAGAATTTTCAGGAAGGCAGAATATGATTATCTAAATTTAAAATTTGAGTGTTGCACTAACATTAATTATGTGATATTGTCATGCTGTGTTCAGTAAAGTGGCCAGATCTTATGATCTCTATTGGTTCTAGGTGACCATCTTTCTATTACTCAGATGGCCCCTGTCACGGCAGTATCCCAGTTCCTCAGTCTTTAAATGTAGCCATCTGTACAGCACCTCTGTGAAATAGGGAAGTACTGTTGTCCCTTTTTCCCCCTTTATAAACAGATAAGGAACTGATATTGAAGCCCTTTCTTCAGCAAAACTCCAAATTAAGTTAGAATTTTTTCAAGTTCCACATTTAAAGAGATGCAGTATTTCTCTCCAGAAAGCTGTTCTTGGGAACTGAGGGCCTGATTGAGGAAAAAGTGCTTGAGTTCATTAGTAGTCGTCCTAAAGTCAGTGGCACTGCTTTCAATGCTTTGAACTAAAGCACATGAATAAGTATTTTGCTTCATGTGTGCCTAAGTGATAAATCTATTATGTGGGAAAAAATGTATATCTCACTGGAATCTGGGATTTACTTAGAAGTTCGTATTATGCTGAGACTTCTAAAGGTTTGCATTGCAAAAGGAAGACTTGTATAATGCAGGTTGAAGAGATATTTGTATTTCCTGTTTAGGCTGGTAGAGAACTTGCAGGCAATGCGAAACTTTTTCTTGCTTGAAGCTGGAGATACTATGTATGATTTCTACACATCTATTTTTGATAACATAAGAGAAAAGGAAACTTGGCAGAATGTATCATTTCTAAATGTCCAACTCCAGGAAGCAGTTGGACAACGTTATCCAGAGGACAGTTCAAGGTAAAATGCATGGAATTAAGTTTAGAGTAAAAGTGAAAGAAAGTCAAATTCCTTCTCCCTTCCTCTTGAAATAAGTTCATGAAATACATAAATATTAGGCTATATTATGGTCTTAATCATCAGTATAGCAATACGTTCATCCACTTTGTTCATTCTGACACTGATAGAAACTATTGTGCGTAGTGATAGCATATTCAAAATGTAGTGTGGAAATAAGCATATGAATATCTATTTAATAGCAGTGCATTGATTAATCTTTGCACTAGAACTAATTTTTTATCTGTAAACATTTGTTTTCCTCCACAGGGAGTTGCTCTATATCAGTGGTCCCCAACCTTTAGAGGCTGCCGGGCGCCAGGGGGCATGGCCATTCGCCTGCCGGGCACCAGAGGGCGGGAACACTTGCGCGCCCGGGGGCGGGGCTCCCCTGCCGGGCGCCAGAGGGCGGGGACACATGCATGCCCGGGGGCAGCCCCCCCCATAGCCGCGTACTCTGGGGGTGGGGCCCCCCATAGCCATGTGCTCGGGGGCGGGGCCCCCCATAGCCACGTGCTCAGGGGTGCGCCCTCCCCCAAGCGCCGCGCGCCCAGGGCTGGCACCCCCTCCAAATGCCGCAGGCCCGGAGCTGGCGCCGACCCCCAAG